GAGCCGATTGATGTCCCCTTTGAGCATCACGGGGGCCAGCGCGGTTTCCCACAACGCTCGCGATAGGAAGCGGCCGTGTAGGACAACCCCCCCGGCCCCGCCCCCCGCCCCGGACCACGACCGCTCACACACTTGCTTGCACAAACCACGTCACCCGAGCTCACCTGCCAACACAGCGTAGCAAGCACCAAAGGACACACAGAATAATACACCTTGCCAGGCCCTCCAGTCGCCATCACTAGGGCGCAGAAGAGATCTAGCCGGGGCCAGGCACGGCCGACGTCACCAGACCATGCACACGTGGCCTCGTTGCCAACTAGCGCCCTCCTAGGAGGGGCCCTCCGTAGCCGCCGCCGCCGCCGTAGCCGCCGCCGCCGTAGCCGCCGCCGCCGCCGCCGTAGCCGCCGCCGCCGCCCTGAGGGTAGCCGTAGCCGCCGCCTCCGCCGGTGTAGCCGCCGCCGCCTCCGCCGTATCCGCCCGACGTCCAAGGGCGCCGGTGGTTCCTCTCCCACTCCTCCTGCCGACGGCGCTCCCGCTCCTCTTGCCGCCGGCGCTCCTCCTCCTCCTCGCGCCGCCGGTCCTCCTGCTGCTCGAGGACCTTCTTGCCGGGCAGCGAGCAGTAGCACGGCGTGCCCACGTCGCAGCAGTACAGCCACGCCGCCTTGCCACACTGGCCGGGGGTGCTCATGCCCTTGCCGCACACGCAAGTCGTCCCGACACCGCAGCAAAACGCGTACGCCTCCGAGGAGCACTGGCCGTTTGTGCCGCCGCCGCCGAAGAGGCCGCCGCCGCCAAAGATGCCCCGCTCGCGCGTCTTCTCCTCCGCCACCAACTCGCCTTCTCCGCCGGTGAGCGGCCAGTAGACCTCGCCCTTTTCCACGGGTGGTGCGTCGGGGTCAACGTCAACGTAGTTGGCGTCTGGGGCGATGTAGTTGGCGTGTGGGTTCTGGTTGGCGTCGGGCGGCTTGGGTGAGAGCAAGGCGGCAATTTTCGGGTCAATGTTGGCGTCGGCCGGCCGCGGTCTCGCCGCTGCAGAGAACAAAACGGTGCCGAGGGCGGCGGCGAGCAGCGTGATCACGATGGGTCGCGCGCGTGTGCGGCCGCGGGATATGACGACCGGACGGCCGGGCCGGGTCTCGGTCAGCATTGAGCCGACACGTCCTTTTGTCTGCGCTGCAAACAAGCGCCGTCTTGTTGGAAACGAAAATAATTTGTCGACACGCTTAGCTAGCGCATCACACCCCTCTCCTTAAAATCCCTGTGTGGTGGCGGCGTGCCGTCCTCCCATCCCTCCCTTGGGTTTTCGCTTTTCTTTCCCTTTCTTCTAACTTTCTTTACTCCCCAGCTACGCGCGACACCTCGCTAGTCCTTCCGCACACCCGAGCGCGGCCGATCGCGTAGCAGCCCTCAGATGAGGTGGTCAGATGAATAAGTGCCCGAGTCCCCGAGAGCGAGGGATCCGCCGAGATTTGCCGAGATAGATCCCCTGCGGCCTGTGCCCAGCTGCCTATCCGCGCCGCTGCCGCGCCGCGATGCGACCGACCCCTCCCGCTCGCTTTTGCGAAAATCCTGCGAAAGGTGGGGACGCGTGTGTCTGCGTCCTCGCGACCTCTCGACACCCAGCCGGCAGCCCTAGCTTGGGATGTCCGTTTTCTGTCTTTCTTTCAACCCGAGCTTGGGATGTCGCACATCTGCCTTTTTTTCTTTCTTCACATCCGAGGTTGCGCCTGGCCTGGCCGCCGTGGAGGTACTCGCGAGACTTAGACATGTGCTCAGCCAGCGGGGCTGTCACCAGCAGGGCCGGCCCGCGGGCCGAGTCCAACCGAGCGCAGCAGCGCGCTGAGCGACGCCGTGGCCGCCACGGCGGCGGCGGCGAGGTAGACGAGGCGCGCGCGCCCCCCGATGAGCAGCAGGACGGCGCGCATCCGCCGCAGCTCGCGCGTGTGCGCCTGCCCACACATTCCTCTGGTGCGACGTTTCGCGTTTCCGTGCCTCCGCCCAGCTCGCGCGTGAGCGCCGCCGACCGCGCCGCCGCCGGCGCCGCCTCGAGCGACTGGACCGCCTGCGTGAGGTGAGTGAGGTCAGGGAAGGCAAACCCTCTCCGCACACCCGAGGTGGTGGGGCGAGGGGCAGGCCGACTCTCGCGACTCCACGTCTAGACGACAGGAGCCCCACGGCATTGAACACGTGCAAAGCCCAGTGCTGGGTGTGTGAGCGGTGTGTGTGTGTGTGTGTGTGTGTGTGTGTGTGTGTGTGTGTGTGTGTGTGTGTGCATGTGTGCGTGCGTGTGTGCGTGTGTGTGTGCTTGTGCGTGCCTGCGTGAGGGCGGACTCAAGGACGAGCACGGAAGCGATGGCACGCTGCAGCGCCGAGCCTTAGTGCGCGGCACACACGCGCCACTTCACGCGGCGGCGCGTCCGAGCACCGCGGGAGAGCGAGGGCAGCGAGCACAGGGATGCAGCTGCAAGACAGCTCTAGCCCAGAGGGGGGACTGGTCGTCTTGAGGCGCTAGCTGGAACGCAGGGAGTTGCTCCAGCACCTACCTAGGCATCTACACCCGAGCCTGCGGCGGGCGCACGCAAGGCGTGTAGCTCGTGCTCGCGGCAGACGAGCTCCTAGCCTCGGAATATGTCAGTTATTGTTCTGCCTAATATATTAATTAGGCAGACGAGCTCCTAGCCTCGGAATATGTTAGTTAGGCAGGCGTGCTCCTGTCTCGGGCGGAATCTCATCTCATCTCGGGTGTGGCTCGCCGCAGAGGGAGAGAGTAAGGGGGAGAGAGAGAGAGAGAGAGAGAGAGAGAGAGAGAGAGAGAGAGAGAGAGAGAGAGAGAGAGAGAGAGAGAGAGAGAGAGAGAGAGAGAGAGAGAGAGAGAGAGAGAGAGAGAGAGAGAGAGAGAGAGAGAGGAGAGTCTCGCCGCAGAGAGCCGCGCCTCCGCCGCCTCCGCGTCCAGCCCGCGCGACTGCCACGCCCTCCTACGCTCGCCACAACCTCTGTGAAGCTCTGCCCTGCCGAGGCAGCCCCGCGCGACTGCCGCGCCCCACCAGTGCGTGTGCAATGGCTCGGCGGAGACGTCGGCGGCGGTGCCGGTGCGTGCGGCCGTGGCGGAGCTGGAGCCCGCGCCGCTGGTTGGTCTGTGGACGCGCGCCTGGGGGTCAGGGTGAGGTCAGGTCAGGTAAGGACAGGCCAGGTAGACTTCTCCACACACACGCACGCACATACACACACACACACACGCATGCACGCACGCACGCACGCACACACACACCGCACAAGTTGGTAGGGCAAGGGCCGCGGAGACGCATCTCGAAAGCGTCTCGCAAGCGTCTCGGAAGTCGCCTCGAACGCCGCGTGTGTGAGCTCGTGCACGGCCTAATTAATAATTAAACAATAACTAACAGTCATTATTAAATCAGGTGCGTGTGTGAGCTCGTGCACGGCCTCCGCCCAGCTCGAGTCGACCGCGATGGCGAGCGTCCCGCGCGGCCCGCTAAAGTAGCCGCCGATGTGGCGCAGCGGCGCCGCGCTGAGCGACGTGTCGATCGAGAGTCTCGCGCCGTACGAGCGGGCTATCGCAGCGGCGGTGGCGAGGCCAGGGTGCGCCAGGGCGGGCGTGGACGCGGCGGGCCACGCTCCGAGCGGACGCGCCGCGCCGGCAGCAGACGCGTCGAGCGCGAGCACCTCGCCGCATTGACCGAGCGACTGGTTCTCCGCCTCGCTGACGGCGCCGGCGCGGTGCGTGGCCGCGCAGCCGCTTATTCGCAGCGCTTCGACGACGGGCGGCGCGTTGGCGACGCCGATCACGCCGCCGCGCAGTCTGAGGCTGCGGAGCGATGCTGAGAGCGCGTAGAGTGTCGGACACATGTGTGTCGATGCGATGGTGGGGGCCGTCGCAGAAAAAGAATTCGGGCGAGATCAAGGCGCTTGCTAGCACTATCACAGGCAAACCACCGAAAAAGAATTTCCACGTTACTTTCTCACACGACAAACCTCCTCACCACTGCGAACATAGTCTTGCTCGTAGGAGCCGTTCGTCTTTTGTTCGAGCATACGCGCGCCCTATCACCCCGTTGAGCACGTGTGCAGGGTATCCGAGCGCCGTGAACTCCCTGAGCTTGCTCGTCACGCTGAGCGCGAACCCCTCGTCATCGCTCGCCATAGCTCCCCGGCCCTGGATGTGAGGTTACTGACTGCACTCCAAGTGCTCCAAGCACTCACTTTGAGCAGGCATCCAACGACGATGCCCACTTTCATCTTTGCGCATGCATGTGAAGCTGTCCCAACGATGGCAGCGCCACACCCGAGGCTCTGTCTGCCTCGCAGCCCTCGTTCACGTTCTTGAGTCTCGTCCGGAAACCTCCGTTCGCTTCGAGCTCAGGCCTGGATGGTCCGCGCCGGAAGCAGCACATCATCATCGGTAGAGAGAATGTAATCATACCCCTGCATTTCGGCAACACGAATCATCGTCCACGCTTTGTGCATGTAATTTCCCTGGTTGATATGCCCTCTCCACGGCGCAAGGTGGTGGCCATAGTCGCAGATATGTGTACCACCGAGTAGCGCTGCAGCGGGGCCCAGCCGATCGAACCAGGTGCTCAGATCAAAGTCAGCCTTTAGCAGGCCGCGTTCATCCAGCAGTACGTGGAGCCTCGCGAGGGCATGCATCTTTTTATTAGCATGCACCGGCGCCCAGAAGGCATGGCTGAGCACACGCGCCAGCACGGCACCGACCGGCGGGTTGGGTGCGCCATGAATTACAAATATCCCCACACGAGGTTGAGGCAAATCCAGGAGCTCGTGGACTGTCACTTCCCCTGCCTCCCCGCCGCATCGCACGCCACTCAGCGCGAGGTGGTCGCAAAGAGCCCCGGTTGCAAAGTCGAGCTCGAACGCGAGCTTCGCCTGTCCGCCGCTGGCATCTGCATGCTGCGACGCGAGGCTACGTGCCACTGAGTTTCGCAAGCGGCGAAGCAGCGAACGAAATAAACACGACTTCTGCACAGGCATGCGCTGCCCGCATCCAAGCGCAGATGTGTTGACCTGGATGCGCGACGTGTCTATGCGCTTGAGAAAGTCAGCAATGGATGCAATCGCCTCCTGCTGCAATGCCAGCGGCGAAGACGGCAAGGAGTACTGCAGCTGAGCGTGCGCTTGGTCCTCCAAGAGCGGGACCGACAGCGTGACTTTGCCATGGGTGCGGATCGTCTCGCGCCCGGAGGTGAGCGAGAACCTCGGTGAGGCGGCCATGTTTGCAATTTCCCGTAATGAGCGCGGCGCGCGCGAAGGTGCTTCACAACTTTGACGTCCAACAACATGTACATGTACATGTGCAGCTGTAGAGCGTGCGGCCGACGTGTCCCGCTGATCCCCGAGGTCCCCACCCATCCCCACCCATCCCCACCCATCCCCACCCATCCCCACCCATCCCCACCCATCCCCAGCTCGCTCTATCACACACCCCAAGACGCAAGAGCCCTTGGGGAAATCCGTTCGCCATACGCTCCGAGCGGCATGCGCGTGATGACGAAGATCCTGGGAGCCTCAGTGGGACGCTCGCGGTTGGTCATCATGCAAACATAGAAACCCAAACACAGCCCACAGCGCCGACTTGGTTTCTTTTGACTTTTCGCGCACCGCGCGGCGTACTAGCGAAAGGGCAGGCAGGTGCTCGCTGCTAAACAGCCGTTGCGTGTCCGCGCCGGGAGGCGGCTGAGCCAGCTTTTGGTAATAGGAGCGGGTCTCGGGAAGAGAGACGCTATACAGACGGTCAAACATGCACACGGATCGTCGTGGGTCTGGGGGGACTCGCGGTTCGGCTACAGCTTCTCCCAAGTGTTCATTGGCTCCAGGGCACAGGCAGGAGCCAATCGCACTCGTCCTCGGCGCAGCGCACGATCGCGTCGGGATGGAGCCGGTCTCGCGGCAGGAGCGGCGCCGTCGTCGGCATAAACTCCATCTGCTGCTGCCGCTGCTGGAGGTCCCAGGAGGTGTCGCCTACCTCACCCCCTGCCTCGTGCAGAGGCAGGTGGACCAGCCGGCCCGACCGCTCCCACCGCGACTGAAGCGAGCGAAGGTCGTCCGCGAGGACCGTTGCCTGGCCGGTGGCGACGGTGCGCAGCAACGGCTCCAGCCACGGCCGGCTGCGCAGGGCCCCGCCCGCGCCGAGTGCAATCGCCTGCCTCCGCCACTCGAAATCGTCGGCCGGGCTGGCGTCGCGGCCGTCGGACCGAAGCCAGGCCGCACATGACGAAGGCGTCGGCAACACGAGCGGGCCGTGACAGACGATGAGCGTCGAGCGCGGGGCGCATCCAGCCTTTAGCATTAACCAGAGAAGCAGCGACCCGGCACCGACGCAGTGAATTTCGCCGTAGCGGGCAGAGGGCGGAAACGCGTCGGGCGAGAGGCTCGTCCAGCCGCGTGGCGTCGCGAGCACGTGGCTCGGTGAGAGCAAGAGCGACTTCATCGAGGGAGGTGTGAGGTGAGATGGCTGCGAGCGAGTTCTTTACCAAGTTGCAACCCTTGTTCCGGCTGTTTGCCGCCGGTTGAGCAGCACCCCGTCCCCATCCAGGTTGTTGGTTGCTGCCCCAGGTCCCGCACTATGTAGGTGCACTGCTTCAGCAGCGTGCACCTACCTCGATCGACGATCCTGGTCGCTGGTGTCGGTTGCGCAACCTTTTTGCCGACCTCCGAGCCCAGATAGCGCGCCGTGTCTGATCCTCGTCGGCATCTGCTTCCGGGCCTGGCGGCCCGCCACAAGGACTTAGGTGAGAAGTGCCCGCCGAAACATCGGAACGACGCTGCTCCGCTCGACTTGGTTGGTTGCTGGCAGCACCCCAGCACCGGGGGGTCCTGAGAGCTGTTGGTTGGTGCTCTGTTCACAGCACAGTGCGGAACAAGGGTTGCAACCTGGTAAAGAACTCGCTCGCTGGGCGCTCATGTAGAGAAGAAATCGACATCCGCATGGCAGCGCACGCGGTATGCACGTTTCACCTCCCGATAGGGTGACGAGGGAAGCTCAGGATGTGTGGCAGCCCCGTTGGCTGAGTGTCTTGTCTTGTGGATCTGTGTGCCGCTCCCGTGTGACCGTCACCGCCCGTCTACCGTCTTGCGTCCACCCATACCGCGGGTGTCCCAGTCATTGGTCGGATCTGTTGTTTTCCCTTCCGATCTATCTCGATCGTCGATACATTCAACATACTTCATGAAACAAGGCGCGCGCGATACACACAGCGCCTCAGCCCCCTCGAAAGAATGGCACAGTGGGGCGCACGACCGAGACGCAGTCGCACCTTTGCTCAGGGTCGGCGCCTCGGGCCACCAGTCCGCACTGCACCGCATGCCCGTTGCAGTCGAAGTCGCCGCGGCAGCCGAGCGAGACCCAAACAGCCGCCGAGGTCGAGTTTCCGACGCACCCAAAGGTGCTGTTAATAGCAGCGCCGTCGTTAATAGCAGCGCCGTCGCGGCTTTGGACACAAATGGCGTGGCGGCTGCGCTGCCTGGTCAGCGATACGCGGCAGTCGCCCGCCTGCCCTGCTCCTGGTGTACTTGGAGCGCCAGCCAAGCGCACTAGGTAACTGTTTCGTGCTTTGCGGTTCTTCTTGCCATGTACGAAGTGCGAGCGGAGACTGCTGAGGTCTTGTATGTGTGGCGTCGAATCGTTCTGCGAGCCTGGCTCGGGAACTTCCAGCGCGTAACACGCAAATGCCATGTATGGCGCTTGGTCAGTCCAACGACTACGAAAGTAGCCTTCCCACGCGCGCTCATACAGGTACTCGCTCAGCGCAAGGACGCGTGGATTAGTCATGAAAGAGGTGTTGAAAAGCATGACGTATCCAGCCCAGAACTGCGGCTTTGGATCGCGACACCAGGAAGAGAGAGGCTCCGCGTGGAATGCGCTCGCAAAGCGCTGCACGGCAGCCATGATCCCTGCTTGACAGTCGTCCCACCCGCGGGCCTTGAGAAAGCGTTTGGAATGGAACTGAGTGTATCCGATGGCAACTTGATCGCGGCGGGAGATCATTGACCAGACGTCGGGCATTGCCTGCACAAAGAGTACATCAGTGTCGAGCTTGAGGTAGAAGTCGGCGCTTGCGATCAAGGGCATGCGCAAGAGATGGTATGTGAAGAAGGCGCCCGAGTATAGCGCATAATCGAGCTTCCATCGTTGTGAGGCACACTCGCTCTCTGGGATCAGGGTGCGGTTTACTACTCGCAGAGCACCTGGAAGCTCTGCCCGCACGTGCTGCAGGATGAACTTGGTAGGCCCCTGGCGGTAACGGTGAAGCGCACCGCAGGCAGAGGGCGGCGAGCCGACGTTCGCAGCATCGGGTGCCAGCCCCATAGTGGCTGCTGTGATGCGGTCGTCCCCAGCCGTGGCTACGAGCACTGCATGCTGCGGCTGCCTGCGATAGAAGAACTCGTCAAAGTTGCCGAGCCTGCCGGCAAACTCAGAAGCAATGTCTCTGGACGAGATTAGGTGCACCGTGAGAAGGCGAAGCCTCGAGAGGCAGGAGCGTGACCTTAGCTCAGACCACTGGGGAAGCTCCGCGCCGCGGGGCCACTCGACACCGCCGCTCCTCATACTGATCGCACCGCTCTAGCATCTTCGCACGCAAGCCCCGGCCGCCGCTTTTACTTGGGCTACTGGGCGTCGAATTTCTTTTTTCGGTGTTTTGCTTTGCCAACAGCCAACAACAAACCCAACGAATCGCTGCGGCGCGTGCCACTGCTTTGTCCGGAGTGAATACTCCAACGCGCTCGTCGGTGACGGTGTCCTCCAACCTGCGCCGCGCTCGGCGAACCTCGACAGCGCCTTCGGTGGCATGCAGCTCTTTGCGACAGAAGCCTGGAGAGCAGCTCCTCTGCTGCT